TTCAGCGGGAATTTAATAAGGTTATTTATTTCATCAAGTTCAAAAAGTTTATCAGGTTTTGATTTAAAATTTTCTTCATACCATACGATAAATGATTCATTTAAATAACTTAAAATCGTGTTAATATCCCATTTCTATCACATTATTTATATACATATCATACGTTTTTTCATGGTCATCTTTAATAAATGATATATAATCTGAAGGGTCTAAAAGAATGGGATTAAATTTACCACTCACAGAAACGAGAGTAACATTATAAATTCCGCTAACTGTTAAATTTAATTCACAACTATTATTCGAAATAATATTGATAATTGACATTTTTTATTACGATTAAAAATATGGTAAAGCGTTATTTTCCAGTGATAAATAAAACTAAAATAAGATTACCTCAAGAATTCATAAATTCAACGAATAAAAAATTCATTCATGTTATAAATTTTAGTGTTTTCAGAAAATATGAGTCGATGTCATATTCATCATCGGGTTATATTTCACTTCATTCAAATTTAGTTCAATCAAACCCATATAATGACCATTTCATAAGATTTTCAGATGGTATTAAAAATGCAATTGATAGATTAAAATATGAACAGATTGACAATATCGAATTTTTGGAATTTTGGTTTAAATATCCTGATGGAAAAAAGATTGAAGTTAAAGATAAAGCTGATACTATAACAAAAACAATTACAATGACTGATCCGGATAGTGGGGAACAAAAAGAAATAAAACAAACGATAGAAACTGGTGAAAGGTCAATTATTATTGATTATGATTCAAAGGATTATTATTCGATAATGTTAATGCTTGAATATTAAATAGCCTTAACAAAGAATTTTTCAAGTGATATTTTATATTCATCAACTATTTTATTATAAATATCATTATATGTTAAATGAAGTTCTGTTGTTGTTCCGTTCTTTGATATCTTAATTGTGCTAATATCCTTTATAGGATTTATTTTTGCAACTGTTCCGCAGCATGAAACCTCATCATCTATGAAAAATTGAATCTTAACGTCTGAATCTTGAACATCACAAAGAATGGCGATAATGTGAATTAATGATTCATAAGGTAAAATAATTAAACCGGATTGTCAATTAAATTTATTATTGAATCATAATTATTAATTATTATATCACGGTAAATTTTCATTAATTCAAAATTAATGTCTATTTTATATGGGTTCTCGATGTTTGATGAAAGAGGTGCTGGGTATGTTGGATAAGTGGGAATTTCAACGGGTTCTTTACCAGGTTCAGATAAAATGATTGGGTCTTCATTCTCCTCATTCTTCGGTAAGTCACGAGTTAATAAATTTGGTTGAGTTGCTGACCTTGTTAATTCAGGGCTAACATTAACTTTAACATTTTGAATAATTCGTGATTTATCATCATTTACGTTATAACCAACCGTAATCTCTGCTTTTGCGTTAGTGTTCTTTTGACTAGTAAAACGTCTTCTCATTTATATTCGAATAAAAAAAATATATTTAAACTTTTATTTTGCTGGAACTTTTGAATCTATTATTCCCTGTATTTGTTCATGAAGTTGATTTTTAGCTGTTTCATCGAAATTAATAGACCGAATATATTCATTAATTGCATTCTTATAATCACTGATTTCTCAAATTTTCTTTTATCTGATTCCTTAACTAAATCATAAGTTAAACCTCGTTGCTGATATAATGGTTTCTTAATTAAATCTTTGAATGCTTGAGATAAAGCACCTGATGCAATTCTTGCTACTATAATTGGTTGGAATTGTTGTTTAAGTTCATCTTTAACATTTGCGAAAACTGGATCGAATAAAGCAACTTTAAAGAATTTCTTAGCTGAAATTTCAGGTCTAATATTTGCATATTGACCATCAAACTGGTTAGAATATCGTGGTAATCCATCCGGTCCCTCTTCAATAGCATTTAATTCCTCATTGAAATAAGAATATGGATTATGACGGTATGAATTAATTGGACCATTTTCACCTTCTCCAATGTATTGTTTAACAGCTTTTCCATTTTCATCAAATTGCATAGGATAATGTTCATTATATGCTTTACGTTTAGGATAATCAGATACAGTTAATTTATAACCATTTATGACTTTAATATTACCTTGCCATCAGTAACGAAAACTTCATTTATACCATCAGGTTTTCCATTTGGACCCGTAATGTCTGCTTCGTGTGCTTCCCAATTTGGACCATGACGTTTGGCATATGCTTGAGCTTCTGGTAATGTTAAAACATTTCTCATTTGTTTAACATCTTTTTGAAGACCAGCAACAATATGAACTAATTCTTTCATTCCATCGGGAACTTTCATAGTTCTATTATATGCACCCCTTTTGTTTGTCCCTTGTTTTAATGGAACTTGTAAAAGATTTGCTATTTCTGTCATGTTTAATTATAAATAAAAAATAAAAATTAATTATAAAAAGTTAATCAAATTTAACACCCCCTTTATTTAAATCAACTATTATTTTTCCATGTTCACCTAATTGCTGATATTGTGTGTAAAGTTCATTAATGCTCATTGGTAAATTCACTTGATAAAGCATAACGTTCAACTGTTGACGACTAAACCCACTGAAAATGAAAAGTGTTGATAGATTTGATTTAATGTTTGTGCTTAATGCTTTGAAATATTGAACAGCCATAAAAATGAACACTGAATGTGTCGACATTGAGTTAATAACTGATTAAAATATGATTTCTCATTTGTTATTAGTTTTGATTTCACTGCATCATCTAGAAAAATGAGTGAATGCAAAAATTCTTTATCAAAATTTGAAATGGAAAGTGTTTCAAATAATTCATCCCGTTGTTTATCAATAATTTTATCCTCTAATCCTTGCTTCTTGATTGTATTATATAATTCTTTATACATTAAAAAGTTTTTTAAATAATCTTCTGCTTCTTCTTGTGATAAATAAATAATTGGAATTTTGATTAAATGCTTTAAAGATTCAAATGTATCATCTGAAGGTGAACCTGAACGGTTGATATAAATTAACACATGTGAATGGGGGGAAGTGTTAGCAATAATGATAATTTGTTTTAATATCGTTAATGTTTTACCTTTATTTTGTTTACCAATTGCTGCAGTGATTGAATTTAAGTAACATTCAGAATATGGAATTTTCATTAATTTTTCCTTAGATAAAGCATTTCTATTATCACTCAATGCCTCATTAATCATATCATCTACGTATGTATTATATACTCCTGCTAATTCTTCATAAGGGTGGATGAATTTAAATCCATTTAATCAAAAATAAATTTATAATTTTAAACATTTCTATTCATCAATATTTCATCATATGAACTTCTATACTGTGGTGGTGTACCTGTTGGATGATATTTCAAACCTTCATCCGGTGTCCATGTCCAATATGTAGTCCTAGTAAACCAAACCTGAGGAGGATTTGTCACCTTTGAACAGTAAGTGTCATTTTCACCCTGAATGATTGGATAAGCTTTCACTTGTACTGTAACTTGTGAATTGAAAGTTTCTAATCCATCAAAGAATATACCCGCTCCATCACGTTGAACTGGAATAGTGCATAAGAATGAAGTTTGGTCTTTCCATGTTCTAGCTAATGGCATGCCATTATCATCATTCAGTGGTCTAGTTAATGAGTCCTCGTATTCTTCCGTGCATTCATTCACTCCATCTAAATCAGAAGCTTGAAGCATACGTGTAAAGAATATGTCACCCACTGTGGTCATCGCTTGATCGGGGAAGTTTCTTGAATCTATAGTGACCTGAAGACCTCGAAGCATTGGATTTTCTAAAACTGTTCTTTGCATTGCATTTTTCGGAAATGTTAACACAACATCTGTAACATTATGAAGAGCATATGAGAAATCTGAGCTAATACCTTCTGGAGTGATGCAACCTCCATTTAGTGAACGAACGTCAATATGTTGAGCTGGAATCATGAATGGATCTTCCTTACTAAATAAACGTGGTATTGCTTTAACTGATTCTTCAATTAAACCATATCCTGGTGTAATACATTTATCCTCTAAAACTTCCATTTTTGTGCATGAAATAATAACGTCATCAACTGTTGCGTCAGCAGATGTAGCTAAGCTTGTAATTAATTTGGTAGGAAGTCCGATTTGTTGGAATTTGCGATCATATTTATAAACATGATTCATAATCTTTTCATAATTTTCATCAGTTATCTTTTCATAAACGTAATTTTGTAAATCAGCAACTCTTAACGGGTCAACCTGACAAAATACTAAAGTATCCCTGAAAACATAATATTTAAGAATGATATCACCAAATGATTTAGGATAATCATCGAACGCCTGAAATGCTAACAAATCATTTACCGGAATAATCATATCAAAAGTGATATCAACTTCTTCATTTGCTTTCTTGAAAACTTCGAAGGGTCAATATATTTACCACATACTGAGTTATCATATTTTTGAACATTATTATATAACGAATGAACAAACTTTTTAACTTTCCTTTCTGATTTCGGTTTATATGTTGCAAATGCGAAAGATTCACGGGCGCAATCCATTTGAAGATAACCGGCATCACCTCTTTCAGTTTCTACTTCTAATTGTTTAAAGCTTTGATTTGATGATTTGTAACCAACGAATAAACGCATACATTTAAAAGCGGCATCACATGTGAAAGCTTTATTTGAAACTAGAGTTGCTTTAACTTTGCGTTTAATATATGTGTCACCTAATTGGTTCACATCATGAGCCGGATTTGTAATTCTTAAATGAGTTTGTTTATCATCAAAATATGGAGTATCAGAGTCATAGCATGAACTTTCAAGTTCTCTATAATATCTTCTACCATCATTCTTTGCGAATATTTCATTTATCTTTTCGAATGAATGAAACACATTTCCATTAATTGGTTTAGTGTTTGGCACCAAATAGTTAGTCGTCATTTATTAATAAATAAAAAATCAAAATTAAAAGATGAAAATGAATTTTTAATTTTAATGAAATAATCAACTATGGCTGCAGGTATATTTAAGAAACTGTGGGATAAAGTAAAAAGAGGAGCGAGTAAAGTTTGGGAAACATTGAAGAAGGGAGCAAATTGGATATTTAAGAATAAAGAAGCAATTAGTGACGTAGCTGAATCAATAACACCAAAAGCTGCCCCAATAAGAGAAATTTTAAATAAAGGAGAAAAAGTTTATCAAAGACTTACAACCGATACTAAGATAAAAATAATATTTATTTTTCCACTATTTACCTCCTATTTTATTAAGTATTCCTTCAGCAATTCCACCAATTGCGTTACCTGCTTGTGCTCCCATCGCTGGATTACCTGCTTTAGTACCTAATACTCCACCTATGATAGTTCCTGCCGTTTTCGCTACTGGTGCCAAAAAGTTTGCAAGGTTTAATAATCTTTTTATAAACCCAACCCGCAGCTTTCTTAATTCCATCCCATAATTTTTTAAAGAATCCTGCCGCCATTTCTGATTTAATATTAATTAAAAAATATATTTCATCACTTATATTCTAATTTTTATTTAATGATAAATGAAACCGATTTTAAAAATAAATGAAACAGAGGAGGAAGAAATAAATGAAAGTGAAAATGTTCAACAAAAAATAAACGTTGTTAAACCAATTACTGAAATAAAAATTTTTTCATCTGTTGAAGAATTTAATGACTATTATGCTAATAATAAAAAATTATTTGAAGAATTGACAACATGTAAATTAAATAAAATGTTTAAAGTTGATGGATTCAAAATTTCAAAAATAAAAGGAGTGGTTAGTTTGAAATCTATTCCTCAATCAAGAATCACCTCATTAATGAAAATTGATGATTTAACAAAAAGAATAGAAGAGATTGAAGAAAGAATGAATCAAATAATTGATTTCATAAATTCAAATAATCATTAGTTTCTTAAAGTTCTATGTTGAACTCATCAAATTCTTTTTCATCATCATCATAATTACCAATAGCGAGTTTATTTATTCTTTCGATTCTATCTTTTGATAGTCTTGCGTTTAATTTTTTCTGAAGTTTTTCGTTACCAAGTTCTAAAATTTTACATGGATGATATTTAAAACTGTTAAATTCTTTTTCCTCAGTTTTAATCATTAATCTACAAAGAACTTTAGTGGTGTAGTTTTGTTGTTTAAACCACTTATCCTTAATATTTGTTATAAATTCAATATTCGGAATTAATTCCCAAATTTTTGAATTTTCGATTAATTTACCATCAAATGCAAAAGCAATGGGTTTAATATTAAACTTACCTTTATAAAATAAACTTTCTACATAATCATCAAAATAAACGTCTACTTGTTTAACCTGGGTGAGAATTGGTGAAAGTTTATTCATTAATTGATTCACAGTCACGAATCTTGTGACACTCATTTCTTACGAATTAAAAAAAATAAATTATTCAAAAAATGTAAGAAATTTATTTTTCTCGTTTATGAGGTCTTTGATTATGACTCCATTGATTTCATTCATGATTTAAACAATGTTTAATTAATCGCGGAATATCTGACATCATCTATATATATATATAGCTTCTTTTATAAAAGATAAAATAAATTATTTTAAAATTAATGTTAATTTTTTTTAATGATTTATTTCATTATGTTTGGGCTGAGTGTAAATGTCTTACAATTTTGAACATTTTTTAAATCTTGATTTATTCAAAAACGTAAGAATAAAAACCGTAAGAATCATACATTTTTTACTTCATATGTTAAAAAAAATGATACAAAATCGCTCGATATTGTATGAATTCTTACGTTTACAAGAAAAGTCACACAACCCGTCATATACACTACTATTCGGTCATTTTTTTAAAATTAATTTTTTGTTAGAGATAAGAGCTAAAACTCGGTAAACAACTTCTTTATGTCTAGAAAATTCTATCTTGCCTTTTATTTTTTTCTCGCTGTGAAACGTATTCGGTCATTTTTTTAAAATTAATTTTTTGTTAGAGATAAGAGCTAAAACTCGGTAAACAACTTCTTTATGTCTAGAAAATTCTATCTTGCCTTTTATTTTTTTCTCGCTGTGAAACGTATTCGGTCATTTTTTTAAAATTAATTTTTTGTTAGAGATAAGAGCTAAAACTCGGTAAACAACTTCTTTATGTCTAGAAAATTCTATCTTGCCTTTTATTTTTTTCTCGCTGTGAAACGTATTCGGTCATTTTTTTAAAATTAATTTTTTGTTAGAGATAAGAGCTAAAACTCGGTAAACAACTTCTTTATGTCTAGAAAATTCTATCTTGCCTTTTATTTTTTTCTCGCTGTGAAACGTATTCGGTCATTTTTTTAAAATTAATTTTTTGTTAGAGATAAGAGCTAAAACTCGGTAAACAACTTCTTTATGTCTAGAAAATTCTATCTTGCCTTTTATTTTTTTCTCGCTGTGAAACGTATTCGGTCATTTTTCTAAAATTAATTTTTTGTTAGAGATAAGAGCTAAAACTCGGTAAACAACTTCTTTATGTCTAGAAAATTCTATCTTGCCTTTTATTTTTTTCTCGCTGTGAAACGTATTCGGTCATTTTTTTAAAATTAATTTTTTGTTAGAGATAAGAGCTAAAACTCGGTAAACAACTTCTTTATGTCTAGAAAATTCTATCTTGCCTTTTATTTTTTTCTCGCTGTGAAACGTATTCGGTCATTTTTTTAAAATTAATTTTTTGCTAGAGATAAGAGCTAAAACTTTGCAGACAACTCCCCCATGTCTAGCAAATTTAACATTCGTCTCCCATTTTTATATATTTGGTTTAGAATGTTCGAAAATGCGTAATATGGTCATTAATATTAATTGAAAAGAACCTTGAATTAATTCAATCTGATCTCACAAAATATTTTAAATTACAAACTTTGTAGTTTGAATAAATAATTAGTATTAAACTCAAATTGTAATAAACAGAAATTCATCAAAAATGACAGCTCTCAATTTTTTGACATTTGTAAATTCTAAATTGAATGAGAAAAATGAAATAATACTAAGCATAATACAATATTCTAGATTTAATTATAATTAGGAAAAAGTTAGTTTTGAGAGTACTTTTCATAGGCATATAGAATGAAATCTTCTGAAAAATAATATCACATAAACTCATATTATTTTCTAATATATAACTATTTTATATAAAAATCAAATTCAATGATCTTAAAAGCGAAGGATAAACCTCAAAATTTACGAATATAATGAATGGGAATATAATTCTTATCTATCATAAAACCATATGAAATATCAATTTTTGCTTTACGCCTAATTTTTGACGACAATTAGCAAAAAATGTTAAATGTTAACACTCAGTCCATTTGAATATGAAAAATAAATTGACTTTGATTAAATGTTTTTATTTATCATGCAATTCTTCTTGCGACCAAAGATTTGAATAAAATTTCAAAAAATAAGATAGCTTAAAAAATAATATACGGTAGTGTTTACTAATAGATGAATAGTATATAAATTCTATTAAAATGGATTTGATCCAAAAAAATATATAAAATTTGATCATAAATAAAATCGTTTTAAATTACTTCTTCATTTAAATTATAACAATTATTTTTGGTTTTATATTGGGAATTTCTCGCATATGTTCGTACATGAGCAAATACTATACCTTTTGCGAATAAAGAATTTTTTCATAAAAAAAATTTTTTAGGAATTAGCATATCAGCGTTTTGCGACATTGCCAAACGCCAGATTTTAACCCGACATATGAGCATAAGCTCGTATATTGGAATAAACTCGACTTATTCCATATTAAAGTTATTATAATAATAAGGCACTTAATGTGCAAATCTAATTGAATTAGAAAATGCACATTAAGTGCCTTTTATTGGAATATGTAATACCACATATGGAATATGAAATATGATTTGCGGAATACCACATATAGAATATGTAATCAAAATACAAAGATATTTTATATAACAATTAATTTTTTTTATTTTTTCAGCAAGTGTGGATAAAAAAGGATTACAAACAAATTGAATAGTTCCTATGTCCTTTTTTTGTTTCAAAAAAATCAATAAATTAATGATTTGTCTCAAACAAATAAATTAATGAATTGCAATTGATTTGAGTTGCTATAGACATTATAAAAGGTTCAAAAGTTTATATAAACCTAGTAAATTAAAATAAAATTTTCATGAATTGAACATATTAGTTGGGTTCCGCTTTGGCAAACTTTCCTGTGAAATTTTTTGGGAAAAATGTTGATGGATATTTGGGAATAGTTTAGTCGGTTTTTGCATTTTTAAAATGTTAGTCACTTTCTCCTTCCAAAGTGAAAAAAATTGTTTAAAATATAAAAAGAATTTTTATTCGCATAGGCGACAAACAAGGATTTATAAATAAATAATGGGGCTTTGAGTATTGATCTGAATTGAATCAGATAATTAGCCGTAAAAAATCTTCTCATAACGATTTCTCATGCATGAAAGATGGCTATGAGTGGCGTTAATGAGGGCGTTTGATAATTGGAGTTGGACATAAAATTTGGAGATCTTAAATTTTGAGAATTTTGGTGCGATCTTACTGGTAAAAGCAAGAGTATGGAAGGAGATTGAACTGAGAAAAAAACTAGAGCATGCAAAAGAATCATGCTACAGCTTAGTTGAATGTCATTTATGCAAATAAAAATATCTTTTTCAAATTTCAAACAAATTTTTGCCACTTTTTGAAAGAAGATAAGGTAACAAACATTTTAAAATGCAAAACCTAGACTTAAACTATGCCGAAATGTTAGTCACCGTTACGTTTTTTTCTTTGGGGGCTCGCAAGCTCGCCCCCAAAGAAAAAAACGTAACGGTGACTAACATTTAGGAAAAATTTGAAAATTTTGGGAAAATTTTCGATGGTAAATTTTGGAAAATTTTATAATTTTTCCCAAAATGTTTATTTTATATATGCTAACAATATTATAAGTATAATTTCAAAATTTCTTTTTTTCACAAAAAAAATTGATAATTGAATGGAACAAATAGTTCATTTTTTTAGATGTTTTCTTCTAAATACTGGCGCTTATACTAGATAGAAACTTCTATCGGTATTCTCGGCGTAATACTTTCGCCTGAGTGATGCTATCTCGGACATAGTCAGAGATTAATCTTTCGACGAAATGGTAGAAATATTTCTTTTGAAATATTTTAGGGGCTCTGAGGCACAGCCAGAAGGTCTCCGCCATTTCAACCGTACCTAGAAAATTAATCTC